CTCTCTCTCTCTCTCTCTCTCTCTCTCTCTCTTTCTCTTTTTTCTTTCTTTCCTTTTCCTTCCTTCCTTCCTTCTTTCCTTCCCTCAGGGTATACCTTTTAGCCAGGGTCCCTACATAAATTTGCATACCTTTGAATTTTAGACTCAGGAGCCTCCTTGTGGCATGCCTAGTATCCTCAGAGAGGTCTTTGGACGCAAACCTGAAATCCTCCCATGCAGGTCCATCCAGCAGAGCACTGTGTTTGATTGCTATACCACTGTCTGGCTCCTACTATGTATCTTCTTATTATGGATTTCCAATTTAATTCCCTTCTGGTCAGAGAACACATTCTGTAAGACTTCCATATTTTGAAATTTACTGAGACTTATAGCCCAGCAAAGGATCTATCTTAGTTAATGTTCCAAGAGTACCTGAAAATTATACGTATTCTTTAGCTACTGGTACTGTATGTAGTTATGTAGTGTTCTACAAAAAGGTCAGTAAGGTGGGCTGTGCCTACAGACTAGTAGTTCAGGGAGATGGAGCCCACATGGCTGACCTTAGTTCAAGTCTGGCCCTCTCAGCTTGAAAAATACACCAGGTGTGTGTGTGTGTGTGTGTGTGTGTGTGTGTGTGTACACACCTAAAGTCTCAGAAAGATGGAAGAATGGAGACGGAAGAATAGAGAAGGGACTGTGGTGTGACCAAGCACCAGAGGGAATACTTTCTCCTCTTTCTGTCTGGCAAGTGCATGTGCCCTTGGGCAATTAAACACACACACACATTCAAACTTGTAGATTGTGATGTTCATATCATTTATATCTTTTTTTTTGGAGGGGGGAGGGTGGGCATAGGGTATATGTGCTTGCCAGAGAAAGTGAGAAATCACTCTGGGGGTGATGGCCGTGCGGTATTCCCTTCTCCTCCATCCTCCTCTCAGGTTTTTGGGCGTGCATGCTCAGATGCCCAACAAGATTTTCAAGCTACCACCAGGTCCAGTACTTGAAGCCATGGTTGACCATGTGGGAATCCAGCACCTTAGCCATCAACCCACCTGCTGGCCCCATATCTTTTACATCTTCAGTGATATTTCTGATCTACTGTTGGAGTCAATTACTGAGAGAAGAGTATTAAAATCACCAACTATGACTATTTGTCTATTTCTTTTCTTTAGTTTTGCCAGTTTTTACAGACATAATTTCAAGACTTGATTGTGTGAAATAAAGAAAACAGTGTGGTAAAGGGGAAAAAAACATGAAGTCAGCAATTGAAAAGTCTGAAATTCTTTGACTGTGACCAGTAACTGAGAAGAGTGAATAATACCAGTTTCACCCACTTTAAAGGGTTATTGATTCCATTTCTCCTTGGGAGAAGAGGATTTTTGTCAAGTGCTTTGTAAACCAGTAGGTACCATGGTGATTTAATTATCATTATTATTAGCACTGTTGAGGGGAGACCGAGTAGAGTCCTAGGGTACTGAAGTATGACCCCAGAGAGAACACAGAAACCCATGCAATGAGCAACACAGAAGAGAAAAATGTAGGGGGAAATAAAGATCAAATGGCATTTCATATTTATCTCTAGAGATCTAGGCACGATCACAACTCAATCAGAGGACCAATAAAGTTCAGACTCACCAACCAGAGAAATCTAATTCCATAGCAGAATATACCTAAATAAAAAGTGAATCTCCACCTGGGTGGGCAAAGAATAGAGGTTAGACAAATGTCCACTCGAAAGAAAATCATTCAGGGTAGGGAAGTCAAAATAGCAGCTTTGGGGATAATACAGTTACTAGTGAGCAGCAGTTACCAGAATAGAGATAAATACCCAGAAAATCCAAAGACAGCATCATCTTACAGTCTCTGTTTAAAACAGACTTTCACATCTATATATTGACCTTAATCAACTTTTCTTCCGTATCAGACTCCCTGATGATAGTGCCTCCTATTTTTCTTTGCGTGACAATGACTAATGCAGTACAATTTCTAGAGGATAATTATTCATAGTAAAAGCCCGGTGAAAAGAAGTATAGTATTTCCCAGCAAAAGGATGCTTCCCATGAACATACTAATTTAGGGCAAGCTAGCACTATTTCTATCAAGGTGACCAAGGTTATGCATACCTCCCGATATATGTGTGGTTACAGGAATTTACTCTCCATCTATTTGGGAAAGGGGAACAAAATGAAGCCACACCTGGCTTAGTGGCAAGTGTATGCAAGACACTAAGCGGCCTTCCAGTTTTCTTTCCAACCTTTAACAGATCTGAGTTAGCCCTCCACTCCCACTGACTGCTGTCCTAACAACAGAAGTGATTTCCCAAAATAACCTCTGTCCAGTTGTATCCCCACCCTCCTCCTCGGTCCCGATCTCCCTCTGGGCACCTACATGCTTTCACAGAATTTAGTGAGCGTTGGGGGCTTGTCCTGATTCCTCCGATGGCGAAACCAGCACTGGATTTTTCGAACATCCCAGTCCAGTTGTTTTGATAGGCCCTCCAGCCTTTTCTCATCAGGGTACTGTAGATGTATGACCAAAATCAGAACACCCTTTTCTCTTCAAACTCATTAAACCCCTTTGGCTAGCTGAACAGCAAAGGAGTGATAACCACAGGGGCTCATGTGATGTCATCTCAAAAGTCACTTTTAGTAAGAAATTCTATCTCACACATGGACCTTTGCGACTCACCTATACACAGCCTTATTTGTTCCTCTCTCCAGCCCAAGCTGAATAAAGGATTTAAAACACCCAGGCTGCAAGGTTTTCAGTACCATTTCTATTTCAGTCATGCAACTAGGCAATCACAGAACTTGGGACAAGGAAAAACAAATACAAGACAGGTGTGTGTCTAGGG